CCCCCCTCCCAAATAAATTAGAAAAATCAAAACCAGCTTTCTATGTCTGTCTCTTAAAGTAAAAACACATGCTTCAGTGACAGATTAGACATGGTAGAATTTGCAAAGCCAGAGTCTATCAGTAGTGTAATCAGGATTGAAACCCATCAAAGTCTTTAACTGTCTGGTTCTTTTCCTAGTAAAACAGCAGGAAAGCTAAGAAATATCTTGCTATCTAAATTATTAGTTTCTCTAGAATATCAAAAGTAGCTTGTTTTTGTTTTTTTCAAGAGCCACAGAAGTCAATACTTAAAAAATACTGCCGGTGCAGTGAAGCATCCAACATCATTCAGCAGGGCTTTCACTGGTGTTTTTTTTCACAGTGACATGTCTAAGAAATTAATAAAGCAAAGTCATATCACATTTCTTAGCTGCTACATCTTTATTTAAGTTTATTCAAGCCCCCACATTAATTCCATGATTCAGAAACACTAATGCTAAATGAAGACATAAAATCCTAAACAACCAAGTGTCAGAGTTCAGAAGAAAAGGTTAGGAGGAAACCTTTCCCTCTCTGGGAGTGGCGATAGGGAAGTCACTGACCCATAAAAATATCACAGCTAAAGAGCACAGAACCTCTCCAAATTAAAATGCTCAATATCCTACTGCAGTGGAAGAACCAGCATTACAAGAATGACGTAGTTTGTAACTGTAAGCCTTTCTGGTTTTACTCAAATACTCTTCTCTGGTACAAGATTCCTCCCTGATGCAAGATTTAGCCCTTGAAGAATGGGAGCCGAGAACCTCATCAACTACAAAAAAGCTACCTAGGCATGGTAAGAGAATGAGGAATTTTAGGCACTACTTCTGTGATCCAGGGGTAAGATTTCTGAACCAAAAGAATATAAAACTGGAACAAGCAGTTCCCAGGCCCTGTGTTCTGAATTCTACTGACACTTAGTGGAAGTTTTTGTTTGATTGTCTTTTTAAATAGAAACATTGATAACAGTGATTTTGGATTATTGTTAATACTTCTGCTTTATTGCCAACATTTTGCTCTGAGAAATTCCCCTGAAGGCCCTAATTTCTACAAAAAATTCAGTGTTTTGGATAGAAACATGACAAGTTACATGGGAAGCTGTATGCATGCAATGAACAAAACCACCATGGATCTGTACTGTAATCTACTTTTCATTACTGACATATTTTTGTCATTTAAGGTCACACAGTGCAATAATTTGGCATGACGTTGCAATAATTTCACAAAATTTATGTTCAATTTCCAATTCACTTATAGCATTCACAGTCTGCCCACACTACAGCTCATATCATTGCTGTAAAACATCTATTCATGACAAGATGGGTCAAAATGATGATCAAAGGACTGGGAAGCCTGCCACATGAGGAAAGGCTGAGAGAATTGGGTCTGTTCAGCCTTGAGAAGAGAAGGCTTAGGGGAGACCTTATCACCATGTCCCACTAAAGGGTAGCTACAAAGAAGATGGAGATTCCCTTTTTACAAGGAGTCACATGGAAAAGACATGAGTTAACGGGTACAAGCTACTCCAAGGGAGATTCCAACTGGACACAAGAGGAAAATTTTTCACAATGAGAACAATCAGCCACTGGAATAGTCTCCCCAGGGAAGTGGTGGATTCCCCAACATGGGGCACTTCTAAGATTCAGCTGGACAGCGTGCTGGGCCATCTTGTCTAGACTGCGCTTTTGCCAAGAAAGGTTGGGTCAGATGATCCTTGAGGGCTCTTCCAACCTGGTATTCTATGATTCTATGAAAATAATTTGGAAAGAAGAACACACCACTAGGACATAGATAGAAGGTCATCACAGACAAAACTAAATCCCTGGAAAAAGTGTCCTGCATTTGTAACTGTTTGGGTTTTGTTTTTTTTTTTTTTCAATGGCACCTGTCTACCAAAACCACTGTATGCAAAATTCCCACTTATTTCAGTAGCTCTGCACAATGAGAACTTTTCCTGTGCTACAGCATCACCCAGGTTGGAGAGGGCCTACCTCCATCTGGGCAAGAGGAAAGGCAAAGGAGGGAGACCAGTGCTAGCACAGAATACAGCCTCACCAACATGACACTCACCTGAGCTATGAAAGATGTGCCGGCAAAAACAAACTCTCTGGAAATACTGATGAAGCCTACTACTAAATGCAGCTGGTTTCTCAGGGCTATGGTGAAAAGCAGACATGCTTTCTGCTAGTGAACTGTAGGCAGAAAGAGAGGATTCACCTCTTTTTAATCAAGGAATTATTCTAATATTTGGGAGCTAAAAATTCTTGGTAGTTTTTTAACTGAAGTATTAAATAGGGCAGATGCAATAGTATGTATGGGCCTAAGTACAGTAAAATTTCTAATTTTGATTGCTATTTAGTGCTAGATAAGGCCTTTTATTACATTTTTCTTTTTAGTAGCTTCAAGTCCAAAATTTAAACTCTTGAGGGCTTCAGTCACTTTCATTAGGCCCTTCATCTACTGCAAGCAGGGGTCAAGGAAAGAAAAATCCCCCAATGCAAAAAAAATCCCCAAACAGCTGTGGTACCAGATGTGAGTTATCCTACACTGAGGTTCCGTCTACAAAGCGCTCACAGTAGCATAGCATTACCAAGTTTGTAAGCACCTGAAGGGGACACCATCTTTCCACTGAGATGCTTCAGCATTCTTAGCTACCAGGACTGGGAACATGCCAAATGACATGGCCTTGTTTGACACCCCGCTTCAGTTGTCCTGCGTGCGGTGAACAGTTATCGCTACAGGTTCATCTGATGGTGATGATCAGGCAAGCTTCAGCAGGAAACTGCATTTAAAGCAGGTATCTTGGATTGTAAGCAATAAGAACTGTATCTTCCCCAAGTAAATGTTGAATACTTTCTACTCTGTCCCCTGCCTACGGAGAAGGAGCAGCACCATGCACAGGCATGGTCTTTGCTATTTGATTACTGTATTTGGAATAACACAACATTGACATCTGTAGGCTGCTGGAGACAGAGGTGCATGGAAGGGGTCTCCTCCCAGCTCAGGAAGGAGACATGCCCTGCCAACACAGGCTGAATTACTGAGATGCTTCTGAAGTGTTTTGCTTCACCACACATCTCAACCTCTCCAGCAGAAGCAAATGGAGTGCTGGGAAAAATCAGCCCAGACTAGAGATGTGAGCAATATACAGTGGCATGGACTTCTTTAAAACAAACAGCAGCATTGATGAAAGGACTAAGCTATCATCAAAAAGTGTTAAAATCAAGGAGTTTGCTGGAGCTTCAAAGCAGTAAGTGCACCTATACACTCCAAAATAAATACTGGCCAGCAACTTAAATCTTCTTATAAGCAGTATGCTAAAACAGTCAAAACATAACAGATTTTCCCCATACACTGCAGTATTCCCAGGAAGAATTACCAATGACATAAATTTTTAATTTGCTTGAGAACTGGGTACTTTGCCCCATTTTTGTCACTGATGACTCAAATTCAGTTCTGAGAAGCTCCGAGTGTTAGTTACTGTGTCTGGATAACAATAATTTCAAAAAATAAGCCCTACTAGGTTACCAGCAGTTCTCTCTTTGGTATTTTTAATTAAATCAAAAGCAAAGCTATTCAGAGTCCGCATACTCCATTCTTTACTTGTCTTATCCAAAGTATTCTGTTAGAAAGCCCTCAGCACTTTCACACTGCACATGGTGACAGGCTGTAGAGCCATACATACTGATTGTGTAGCCAGCCTGGATGAATTGTTTGCTACAGGTTTGGATGCAAAAGGAAAGATTTTTCTGTACAGCATATATGCTTTCATGCACAAAATGAGATTATGCTGGATTTAGCGGACTTTGTCTCACTGGTTTTAGCCATCTACAGAGTAGATGTTTATACATGAGCTAGTGGCCACAGCCTGGCTGGCCAGTCAGCGAAACTGCTCCAGCAACTCCACCAGACACTAACCAGTCCCTTCTGCCAAGGGGGGACCTCCCCGCCTCGATGCCTCCTGCTTCCAGAGTGATGAGCTCTGAGCACCCCATCTAGGCTGGCAAGTTACATCTGGTCTGGCCATCATTTAGACATATAAAAAGAAGCTGCTCCTTAATGTTATCAAGTACTTCCTCGAACATGCAATATAAATGCATACATTGATTAAGATACCCCTTCCTTCCATTGCCTCTACTTCTCCGAAATCCTCTCTCTGGCTCCCTACCAACCCATATTGCTCTCAGTGGCTGTTTATGTAGCACACTTTTCCCAAGTTACTTTCCTCCTGCAGTTGTTCACTTGGGGTTAGATACCCAAAGGGACTGAGACAACCAAACTCTTAATTGCAATGCAGTGTGTAACGGTGCACAGAGAAGCTATGCACCTGCAGAGAGGTATGGCTATGTGCCTACAGGCAAGTATGGCCAGATAAACAAGCTATTTTCAGTGATAAACTGTCCTTGAACCCGCTCCAGGCTCAAAACATGCATGCAGTGATAAGGACAGTAACAACACACGCTAGCTTACCTTAAACTTTTTGAGACTATATCCTAGAGAAATCAGTAATTATAATACTGAAAACACATGTTTTTCCTGAGAAAATGTAGCCTGCACGATATAGCGAAGGCTACAGTAGCTTCATCACAGCCCATAACATCTATTCAGGAAGATGGTAGTAGGATGAAGAAAAGGACTAACGAATCCAAAAGACAAAGGGATCAAGATAATCACTCACTATAAAACCAGATATATTCAGATTACAAAGACACACAAGCATACATAACAAAGGTAATTAATTAATGGGATGGCTTTAAAGATTTCCTTTGCTGGGAATTAACGAAGTCAGGATGCTGTCTGGTACCTAAAATAAATCTGGGTATGCTATTACTAAAAAATTAATTGATTTACTATAATTCTATTTTTTACTCTACAGGAAGTCAGATTAGATGATTGCAACAATATCTTCTGGACTTTTATCTTACTTAATATAAAAACGATGTATGTACCTAGGAAGTTACATAGCTGGTCTTCCCAATGAAATCTAGAAGCCTATCTCAGATACCAAGTAGCTACTTTAGACAACAGAAATCTGAAGACAGGTATATCTCTGAAACTATTCCTCATCTAGACCTTCCAGGAGAAACCTTCATCCATGTGGAGCCAGCATCCCTTCCTGCCACTGTTTTTCAAAGAAAGGGATATTTTAATGAATGAATATTTTAACATGAAACATGTATGCCACCCTGGCAGCCAAGCCCCAGGATCCCACTCCCTAAGCAAGTGTCTCCATTGCAGAACAAAGCGCAACTGCGGTGTGGTTCTTCCTCCGTCTGTCTCCTTTCTGCAAAACATGACAGCTTCAATAAGAAGGGCAGCAAGTGACCCACCCACATGAGTCAAAATGAGTCATATGGAGCACCCTCATGGGAGGAGGAAAGAAGGATTTGCACTCCCTTGGTCAGAGGAATTCAGCCTGCGTCTCAGTGTTGTCTCATCAATATGTCTCACCCCTTGGCTCAGTGCTCCAAGCGCAGGCTGTCACTTGGAAGGTAAAGCATCTCAGGCCTTAGAAAAAGTGGTCAAACTGCACCCTTCCCCATACTTCCAGTACCCTCCTGGGATGTGCAGGCTGTAATTCCCAAATTGGAGCCCCTCCCCCAGAGCATCCATGCAAAGTGATACCTTCTCAGAGAGCGATGCTTCTGGGAGTGCTCAGACTACAAAACAAGCAGCTGGGGCATATCCAGCCATCAGTGGTGCTTCACTGCCTTCAGCGCAGCTCTGAGAAATAACTACCAGCCAAGCAGGACTTTTGGGGGCCAAAACCCTGCTCTGGGTCAGGCAGAATTTAGGCTCCCATGTTCGAGATTGTTCAACCAAGAACCCCCCTTTAGTCAGCTGCTGCCTAACCCTGGAGACCCCTCAATGCCATCTCTACGCTGAAGTTAACGGTCCATGTGAACAACCCACCAATGGCACGAGGCTGGTGACTGGCTGTCCTCCTTGCCAGGCTGGGCCCAACTCCTGTCTCCCTGCTGCAGCAGATGCAGAACTGCTTTCTCCAAAGCAAAGCGCTTTAATGGGAGCCTTTTCATGGGACTTTCAATTCATTGAGCTTGTTCAGCTGCAGCTGGGAAGCCCCGATTCTACTTACAAATTGCTCAAATTCCTACTAACCTTTTTAAGAAGTGGAAAAAAGCCAGGCGAGGGGAGGCATCAATACAGAAAGAAAACCCACAGCAATACAGAATAATTTAAAGTTCATTAGAAGCACTGCATACAGTGAAGCTGCTATTATTTAGTCTTTAAATATTTAAAGACCAGCTTACTATACACAGCTTACAGTACTTGAACAATTCCTCATTTATCACTGTAAAATATACAATACAATCCTCTGTGGTTGCAAAGCCAATATTGAAGATGCCATCTATTTTATCATCTAGACAGTATCTGATATTAAAAAAAAAAAAAAATAAAAATTAAGAGATTTTCTTCCAATTTGAATCAGAACCGATGAACCGTAAGTACACGCGGTATTCCTGTCAAACTAAGAAGAATAATCCACTCCCTCCTTCTTTAAAGGTCTTTTGCTCCTAGGAAACATGAATATGTAATGACAGTCAGACATTTTTTAAACTAACTATGGATTGCTAGGACTTGGGTAAATCTGAGCAAGGCTCTTGTATATTGAACAGCATTGGCCAAATAATAATAATTCAGGGGGGTTGTTTTATTGTGTTTTATAATAAAAACTGCAAAGTCAATACACAGGCTTTTCTACAGTTCAACTTTTAAGTTAATAATAGAGAAAGCAACTACAGTGGCTATTTCACAAGTGCTTTAGAACTGTGTTAATAAACTACAGCTGAACTCTGCAGAATTCAGCTTAAATTAGTTTGTTACAGTGTAGTAGTGCCTTTGGACTGGAATGTATTCCCATGAAACCCACCACCTGATGTGAACTTCACTTCCCAAAAAAGAAAAACACAGAGGCTTGGCTCATCGCACTACCCCTGCATGCACAGCTGGATTAGGGAGAAGTAGTGTCAGGAGCCATGTGTTCAAACAGATAAACAGCATGCTGAGCCATGAAACATCATATTTATGTGAGCTCTAAACCAGAGTGAAACACAGTGAAAAGTAGCAAGGATGCTCTAATGGAGCTGCTGAAATTTTTTATCTTTACTGGAGGGTTTAGAAGTACAGTTCTACTCTGCTTTCCTGGTACGTGTCATACAGCTTTACATACAAAACAGTGCCAGGCAGAAGGCACTGGTTTAGCATCACTTTCATTAGTTTTCTATCTATGAGAGCCAGAATACTCTTAGTTTCATCATGTAATATAATCACAAACCAAGGCTTTGTTCACTGCACAATCCCTGACTTCTGTCTGGGTGACAGCAGCATGCCCAGTTACAGGTGCTGTACCATCACCCGGAGACACTGATCAGAAGGGTTTTTTTTGCAAGGCAGTGGAACAGACTAAAATTATAAAAGAAAAATCTTATCTCTGAAGAGACTGCACACTTAATAAAAAGATTAAATGTAGCTTCAGCTAACAACACTTTTCTTGAATCCTTAATAAACTTTCTGTTCTCAACTTTTATCATAAAAGGTTTTCCTGCCACAAACTTTGCCTTTGCAATTACCTGTACTACATTTCCTTCTGTTTTAGTATTCACTCTCCTCACTAACTACAGGACTTGTCGTATATTTGCTATTTTGCAGGCAAGGCATTTTTTGAAGACTTCACATTTTAAGCTACTTGAGTATTTGCCACCACACAGAACTTTGTGGAAAGCCTGAAGAGCAACAGTGCTGCAGATGTGGAAACCACTTCTTGTTTTCCTGTGGTCAGCGAAGACATTTTTATTTGCATGTACACAGTCATATTCCCATAGATCAAGTGGCAAGAAGCCCTAGTTCTGGAAGCCTGATTTCATCAGTGACATCTTTATAACACTACCAGGTGGTCTATGATTCAATATTCCAAGAGATCAGCGATGTAAAATGTTTGCCCATGAAGTGACTGACAACCTAAATGCACACAAAGCTTTACAGAACAGCTGAAGAAAACGTGGCAAAATATTATAGTTTGGAAAAAAAAAAATATAGTTTGGGGGAAAGAAGCGTTTTGTACTCTTCATTCTATCTTTGGAAAGAAACGACTGCAAATGCAAAACCAGATCTTAATTTCAGGGCTGATCTGCTCTTACCATTTGTTGCTGGGGTGAGAGAAGAATCAAATATCGGCAGCTTAGGAAGCAAACCCCTAGTCAGTGGAAGAAATCCCCGGGTCCCAGGTTGGTTTTGTGAGAGTAGAGGTACCCCCCGAGCCAGCCCTTGTGCGAGCGGGCAGCAGCTGCACCCCGGGGGGAGACAGAAACCACGCTCTCCTGAGAAATCAGCCCCAAACCCGAGGCACGGAACGAAGGGTCTCCCCGGAGGCAGAGCGAGCCCTGGGGAGGGGAAGAGCCGGGCGGCGCGGCGCGCCCCGCTCCCTTCGGAAGGGGCCGGGGGCAGCGCTCCAACTTCCCGCCGCGGCCGAACTCGGGCGCTCCGGTTCC